CCTTGCCTTAAAAGGCCCCCCGGGCTTTTTTTGGCGGGGGGGGGGGGGCGGCGGCTCTGCAACTTACCTGGCTGCTCCTTGCTCTGACTGAGGGCTGCTGGGAGCATGGGGTGGGGCTTGTTGTATGTGCCCGCCCCCTGGGCTCTTCAATGCCGGAGCTCCGCTCCTGTGCGCTCCCGCAGGAAATGACCCCTGCCTCCATCAGAGGTGTCCACCAACATGACCTCACTCCTCTTTGCGACAAGAAAGCAAAAACCCAGCAGCATCTTAAAGGCTAACGGTGGACTCAATACGACAGACTCGCGCCCTTTGAAATCTTCACCAGAATCCTTTAGGGTCTTGTCACTGTGACAATTCCCGTATTGTAGGTCAGAGGTGAGGCTGAAAGAGCCATAACTAACTTAGAGGGGAGGTTTCCCTCACCAGTTCCCAGCTCTGCCTCTCGGCTCCTCTGCTACCCCATTGCTTCGGTCCAGGGAGCCGCGCACCCGAGCCTACCTAAGTGTTGTCTTTTCTCACAAGGGAACAGAATCAAGACAGGCAGCTGTGTTAGTCTAGCAGTAGAAAAGAGCAGGAGTCCAGGAGCACCTTAAAGAGTAAGAAAATATGTGGCAGGGGATGAGCTTCCAAGAGTCACTGTTCACTTCTTCCCTTCTTTCTAGCTGTATCTGAAGAAGTGAGCAGAGACTCAAAAAAGCTCCTACCTGGCCACATATTTTGTTAATCTTTAAGCTGCTAAGAGAGCAGAAGTTTGGGCTGTGATGCTCAAAGCCCAGAAGATACCTACGCTTCCAAAGGCATAAAGGTATAAATACACGCTGATGGGGTCCGAACTGGCAGAGACTGACCAAGAGAGAGATCTTAGAGTCGTAGTAGATAACTCACTGAAAATGTCAAGACAGTGTGCGACTGCAATTTTTAAAAAAGGCCAACGCTATGCTGGGGATTATTAGGAAGGGTATTGAAAACAGATCAGCCAATATCATAATGCCACTATATAAATCAATGGTGCGGCCTCATTTGGAATACTGTGTGCAGTTCTGGTCACCACACCGCAGAAAGGATACTATAGCATTAGAAAAAGTGCAGAAAAGGGCAACTAGAATGATAAAAGGGTTGGAACACTTTCCCTATGAAGAAAGGTTAAAGCGCTTAGGGCTCTTTAGCTTGGGGAAACGATGATTGAAGGGTGACATAATCAAGGTTTACAAGATTATGCATGGGATAGAGCAGGTAGAGAAAGAAGTCCTTTTCTCCCTTTCTCACAATACAAGAACTCGTGGGCACTCCATGAAATTGCTGAGCAGTCAGGTTAGAATGGATAAAAGGAAGTATTTCTTCACCCAAAGAGTGATTAACAGATGGAATTCACTGCCACAGGAGGTGGTGGCGGCTATAAGGATGGATGGCTTCAAGAGGGAATTAGATAAGCATATGGAGCAGAGGTCCATCAGTGGCTATTAGCCACAAGGTATGGATAGGGACTCTCAGGCTGGGGCAAGTGATGCTCTGCATTCTTGGTGCTTGGGGGGGGGCAACAGTGGGAGGGCGTCTAATGTCCTGGCTCCACTGCTGGACCTCCTGATGGCACCTGGTATTTTTGGCCCCTGTGTGACACAGTGTTGGACTGGATGGGCCAGTGGCCTGATCCAACATTGGTTTCTCTTATGTTCTTACGAGGGTTTTTTGTTCTCCTTCTGACTTGATTTCTGAGCGGTGACGTGCTCCATTCGCACAAAGGTTACTAGAAGGACCCCGGGGTAACTATGTGGACCACTGATGAAAAGAGCCATTCTGCACATTTCCAAAGATATAACTGAAATTAACAGAAGCTGGCAGCCACTCTCAGCTGCCGGCTCCCATTTATTTCGCCTTCCAGAACTGGAAGAACTAGGTTTGGGTCCATTAGCACCTTAGAGACCAAGAAGATTGAAGGGGGGGGGGGAGTTTTCGAGAGTCAAAGCTCCCTCGGTCAGATAGGGACCTCCATTTCTCCTTGTGTCTGACGAAGGGGGTTTTGATTCTCGAAAGCTTCCGCCCCGAAAATCCTGTTCGTTTCGAAGGTGTCGCCGGACTCGGGTCTAGTTGTCCTACCGCAGACCACCACGGCTGCCCTCCTGAAACTGTCTGGAATTGGAAGCTCACCTTGATCGCTTTCTGAATGTTGATGCAAGAGTCTCTTATTGTCTGCAGCAATTTGTTGAATCGCCCCATCTCTTGGACAAGAACCGTGTTCATGCTCTGGGTGTAGGTGGTTGGGTATCTCCGCATCGCGGCTTCAATGTTAAAGTCAGCCGGAAGCTTGCTTTGGATGTCGCTGGCCACCTCCCGGACTATTTCGTCAGACGATTTTGCGCCCGCGCCCGATGCACGAGACTGGAGCAAAGCAAAAGCAAGGTGGGGTTAAATGGTGCATATCCTGACTGACGTTTCAGCCTGGCGCTCTTCTTAGATAGTCACACCAGACAGAAAGGGCTCTTTTCTTTAGTTATATAACAAAAATGTTATATTGTAATATGCCATTATGTTATATTGTTTTATGCCTTTATCCAAGTGTTTTAATGTTAGTTTATTTACTTCCATTTATACCCCATTTTTCTCCCCAATAGGGACTCAAAGTGATTTACAACATCCTCCTTTTCTTTACCCTCACAAAACAACCCTGTGAGGAAGGTTAGGCTGAGAATGTGTGATTGGCCCATGGTCACGAGCAAGCTTCCATGGTAGAGTAGGGACGCAAACCCGAATTTCCTAGCCAAAATCTGGCATGAGCTTGGGCCAGTTTGGAGCCCCCAAACTGATGGTCAGAGAAGGAGACTTCCTTGAACATTTAGTGTTCGGGGCCATTTAAATCTAACAGCTGAGTGGCATGGGGTCTGCCCAGCAGCTGTTAGGTTTAAATGGCTGTGGGCCATTAAACCCATCAGTTTCGCTCTCCCTGCTTTGAAGCAGGGGGAAGTGAAATAGACGGGTTAAATGGCTGCCAGCCATTTAACCCTTCCTAAGTGATCCCCCCCTTTTCTGCGGCCGGGAGAAAGGGGGAGCCAAACTCACTGGACCAGTTTGATTCAGGCCTTTTTGCTAGGTTCAAGGTATGGGGGCCACCCCAAACCAAGATTTTAAGGTTCGTGACCAATGTTCCCTCTAAGCTGTTCCCTCTTGTGAGCAACTGGCATTAAACTTGTAAGCGACCGATTTGGCTTCTGCATAAATTGGTTTGCTCTGGAGCCCTCCTTCCCGAGCTAAGGCAAAAATGTGTGAGCTGGAAGCTAAAAAACTGAGCTGACTCACAATAACTCAGCTTAGAGGGAACACTGTTCGTGACCATCCCTAAATAAAAGTATCCTGCATACCCCCGATTACAGGTCTTTGAATTGTCTTTTAACACTTCCACATCTTCAAACTTTATATCCAAATAGTTTGTACACTTTTTCACATTATTCATCCTTTTTGGTGGTGGTGGGGAGACCTTTTGTTTCCCGTATTTTGCAGAGATGAATCTTGCCCTTGTTAATATGTTTAGGATTAACATTTGTCCCTTTCTCAAAAACCGTTTATTTATCTATTTATTTATATCCGGCCTTCCTCCCCACTGGAGACCCAAAGCAGCTTACATCGTTCTCGTCTCCTCTGTTTTATCTGAATAACAACCCTGTGAGGTAGGTTAGGCTGAGAGTGGGTGACTGGCCCAAGGTCACCCAGCAAGCTTCCACAGCAGAATAGGGATTTGAACCTGGGACTCCCAGATCCTAGTTTGACATGAACCGCCACAAGTTGGCTCTCCGTAACAATAATAACCGTAACAACACAGGTCAACAATAAGGTCTCTGGAGTGCAGGAAAGCTCTATACCTGATCTTTCTAGCAATGCATTTAATCTTAAAACCATCTTTAAAATTTTACATTTGATATTTTATATCAACAGCTAATTCTAGAACTTTCCTCTGCCTTTCAAGCTGATCCTTATGCATAATCCTGCCTGTAAACAGACTGGATCCTTCCATCCAACGGAATGGCGACCCCATACATGTGAAGAAAGAGCACATACAGATTTCTGGTTTGGGGCAAGCAAATGTATTTGTGGTACACAAGCAGTAGTACACGCTTGGTAAAGTACTAGGGGACTTTATATTGAGGTTGTTTTCAAGGGTATTAGGGAAATGCACATGCTATTAACACAAGCAATATCAGGAAAAGGGCATTTATATTCTATTTTCTTCAATCAATACAAGATAATAGAAAACTTTAGAATATTCGTCTAATCCAGAAGACTTTTTGGATTCTCCTTGATTTAATATTTCGGTGAATTTCCTGAAAATTGTTCTTATAAAAGCGAATCATGTTGTTCAATAAAGTGACTGTGAATTCATGAACATTGCAGCAACAGTCAAATGAGGAAACTAACAGCAGAGTCTCTCTATTTAAAACTGTATTTTAAAAACACCTTTTTTAAAATCAATCAAATGCGCCATTAGCAGCAGGCGATACGCAGAGAGGAACTTTGGAAATCAGCATACCTGCGTCAGAAGAATATTATCAAACAACAGTTGGGTCTCAGATTGATCTTTGGTGATATCGGCGTTGGCGTTCATCCCAAAGATCTCTGGGGCAGGGTTCAGAGGAAGAGTCTTTGTGTAGTCGATGTAGCTTTGATACTGAAAAAGAACCAATGCGAAAAGTACTCTTTTATCTAAACTGCTGAGCCCACTTGTTTCGTCTAACAAATTCTGTGAACAGAAGTTTCGGCGTCCCCGAATCCCTAACTCCATCGCAGGTATTGGATTGTTTCTCATTATGATGAGCAGTGTGTGTAGAAGGGACTTTGTATTGCATAGACCTAAGGAGAGGGCCTCCCTTGTCGTGCCTTGTCGTGGCGAGGGGGCTTGCGTGGTTCGATGAGGCTGTGGGCTATGCTGTGGAGGGCCACCCAAGATGGACAGGCCACAGCAGAGAACTTAGACCAAGTGTGATCCACTGGAGAAGGAAATGGCAACCCACTCCAGTATTTTTGCCAAGAAAACCCCATGGACAGTATCAAAAGGCTAAAAGATATGACGCCGGAAGATGAGCCCCTCAGGTCGGAAGGTGTCCAATATGCTACTGGGGAAGAGCAGAGGGCAAGTACAAGTAACCCCAGAAAGGTGAAGCGGCTGGGTCAAAGCCGAAAGGACGCTCAGCTGCATAGGAACCTGGAATGTAAGATCTATGAATCAAGGTAAGCTTGACGTGTTCAAAAATGAGATGGCAAGTCTGAACATTGATATCTCAGGAATCAGTGAACTAAAGTGGACAGAAATGGGCGAATTTAACTCAGAAGACCATTATATCTACTACTGTGGCCAGGAATCTCGTAGAAAAAATGGTGTGGCCTTTATAGTCAATAAGAGAGTGCGAAAGTCAGTACTGGGATACAATCTCAAAAATGACAGAATGATTTCGGTCCGATTCCAAGGCAAACCATTCAACATCACAGTAATCCAAGTCTATGCCCCAACCACTGATGCAGAAGAGGCTGGACTGGTTCTATGAAGACCTACAACACCTCATAGAACTAACACCAAAAAATGATGTCCTCATCATCATAGGGGACTGGAATGCTAAAGTAGAAAGTCAAAAGATAACCGAAATAACAGACAAGTTTGGCCTTGGAAAGCAAAATGAAGCAGGGCAAAGGTTAACAGAGTTTTGTCAAGAGAACACACTGGTCATAGCGAACACCCTTTTCCAACAACCTAAGAGGCGACTCTACACATGGACATCACCAGATGGGCAACACCTAAATCAGATTGACTATATAATTTGCAGTCAAAGATGGAGAAGCTCTATCCAGTTAATAAAAACAAGGCCTGGAGCTGACTGTAGCTCAGATCATGAGCTACTCATTGCAAAACTGAAGAAAATTGGGAAAACCACTAGGTCATTCAGGTTTAACTTAGATCGCATCCCTGATGAATATACAGTGGAGGTGAAGAATAGATTCAAGGGTCTAGATTTGATAGATAGAGTGCCTGAAGAACTATGGACGGAGGTTCGTGACATTGTACAGGAGGCAGCAATCACCACCATCCCAAAGAAAAAGAA